CACTATGGTCTGATAATATACAAGGGGTAACTTCAATTCTTTTACATTTACTTAGACATGTCCTATGAGCTAGCATGTGGTCTATTTTGGAGAATGATCCATGTGCAGCTGAAAAGAATGTGTATTCTGATTTTGTGGCGTGGAACACTCTATAAACATCTATTAAGTCCATTTGTTCAATAGCTTGGTTCAGTTCTAGAAGGAGGCTGTCTGCTGCTAAGTAGAAGGCATTGGTCTGGAGAGAAGAGGAAGCTGAAACCATGAGGACACCCCTCCCCCCTGGGCAGGCACACCGGCTGCCAGTTTGGCCTTGGGGTCAGACGCTGGTGGCTGTGCCCTGCTCCGTCCGGTTTTCCCTGCCCACTTGCATCCAGAAGACCGTGGGGACACCCCCCCGCAGGCCCGCCAGCCAGCAGCTTGGCCGCGCGGGCACCTGTAACAACAACTCCCCCCCCCCCGCCTCTGATCTCTTGGCTGTGCAGCTACCTAGTTCCACACTACAGAGCTACAGGGGGACATGAAGGCCATTGTAAAGTGACCACTGTACTTGGTAAGTTGGAGGGATCATCACCTCCCATTTGAACTTGGACTGTTTTCCGGGGAGGGGCAGCTGGAACCTGTAGTGGAACCTTGCAGAGTTCGGCCCTGCAGGAGGACAGGGAGCTCAGTTTGGGACTTGCAGCCAAAGGTCTGTCTGGGTCTCATGGGTCTGTGGCTGGCTTGCTGAGACTCATTGACTTATAACTGACAGTACCAAAAACAAAAATGAGAAGGCATTTAAGCAAGTCACAAACTTAGACCTCCACCCCTCAAAAGGCAATTTCAGGGGAAAACAAGGTGGAAAAGTCTGATAATCAACCACCTGGACACCCTGAACTGATAGCACAGGAAGTAACAAAACAGATAAATGGGCTCTAGAAAAATTAGAAACAGAAATAATCTCCCAGATAACTGCAGAGATGGTGAGGAGAGTGAAAGACATAATTAGAGGCTCTAAAACAGAAACAGATAAAAAAAATGGATGAGCTTAGAAACATGCTGGAAGCCATGAATGCCCAGCATAAGAAAGAAATAGAAACCATGATTGCCCAACATAAGAAAGAATTGGAATCCATGAAACAGATTCAAACAGATATTCAGGAGATTAAAAACTCCATTGAAAGCATGTACAGCAGATTAAGGGAATCTGAAGATAGAATATCAGACACAGAAGACAGGATAGCGGTTAAGGACCATGAAAACAGAGATCTCTTCAAAATAGTAAGGGACCATGAGAAATCAATCCAGCAGCTGCTGGATGAT